CCATAGGGCCTCTTAGGTCGCGAACCAGCGAAATCCCTGTGTAAGTAATATTAATCACCTTAAGATATTAAGAATAGCGACGAGGAGTGTAAGAAGCCTCTTTGCAGCAAGTAAATTAAATAATGTAGCCCTTGAAATGGAAAACCTTAAAATTGATGTCCTAGGTATAAGTGATGTACAGGGGCCAAGATCAGGAAAATGCACGAATAACAGTGGAACACTTTATTATTCAGGCTCCAGCAGTTCAACTCATCGTTACGGTGTCGCTGTCTTGATATCAAAGAAAATCAGTAACTGTGTAACAAGCTTTATTCCCTTCTCTGATAGAATAATGACACTACAACTTCAGTCAAATAAACAAATTATAAATATTATACAAGTATATGCTCCTACGGCTGATAAAGATGATGATGAAATTGAAAGTTTCTATTACGATCTGGAACAAATTCTAAAGTCAATGACATCATGCTACATCAATGAGACATCATACTACAGTAGTAATGGGCGATTTTAATGCCAAAATTGGACATGGATGTGTGGACGGTTATGTGGGTGACTATGGATTAGGAGAACGAAACGAACGAGACCGTATGGTACAATTTTGTCAAGCGGAGGAGTTAGTAGTTGCTAACACTCTTTTCAAGTTACCTAACAGACGACTGTACACATGGAAATCTCCGAGTGACACCAAAGGTAGAGTAGTCAGAAACCAAATTGACGTTGTCCTTGTTAGTAAAAGATTCCGCAACTCTGTACTCTAAGCTAAAACCTACCCAGGAGCAGATATAGGCTCGGATCACAATCCTGTAGTAATCACATTAAGAATAAAACTAAAGATCATTAAAAAACACATACAGAAACAAATTGACGTGAGAAGACTGAATGAACAACATATAAAAGAGAAAACAATAGTGAACATCAAAGAAAATTTACAAAATATAGAGAAACTGAATAGAAAATACTGATAACATAGACCAAAAATGGGAGAATATTAAACATGCCGTAATGTTGGCAGGGAGAGAAAATTTAACACCGAAAGAAAGGAAACATAAAGAATGGATGAATGAGGAAATACTACAGTTGATGCATGAAAGAATGGTACACAAAACAAATAATCCGATAAGATACAAAGAAACAGATAAACTGATAAAAAAGAAAATAAGAGAAGCTAGAAAGATGGCTAAGTGAGCAATGCCAGGAGTTAGAACAATTGGAGCGAAAATATGACTTTTTTAATGTACACAAAAAGATTTAAAAAATGACAGGAAGGAGAAAAACAACACAGGCAGGACAGATCAAAGATACAGATGGTATAATTATAACAGATTTACAACACAAAATGAACCGATGGACAGAATACATATCACAACTGTTTGATGACAAAGATAGACAAGAAATCTTAAACGAATGTACAGATGATACAGGGCCTGATATAATCAGAGAAGAAATAGAATATGCAATCAAACAAGCAAAAATAGGTAAAACCCCCGGTCCTGATGAAATTCCCGTAGAACTGCTCAAACTTATGGACGATGAATCTATTAAAATACTCCTAGATCTATTTAACACAATATATAGAACTCGAATAATACCTAGGGAATGGCTCCGTTTGATCTTTATACTACTGCCAAAAAAGGCAAATACAGAGGAATGTAACGAATATCGTACGATAGCTTTGACGAGTCATGCTCTAAAATTGTTCTTAAAAATAATCCATAATAGGATCTATAGGAAATTAGACGTAGACATCAGTAACACTCAGATGGGATTCAGAAAAGGGCTGGGTACAAGGGAGGCTCTGTTTGCAATTAACGTTCTCTCACAGAGATGCTTAGACATAAACCAAGAAATTTACGCCTGCTTTATTGATTTCGAAAAGGCTTTTGACAAAGTACAACATGAACCACTAAGACAAGTTCTAATAAAGAAAAATATAGACAGCCGAGATATTCGAATTATATGCAATCTATATTGGAATCAAACAGCAAATGTCAAGGTTGAGGGCAGACTAACAGAAGAAATTCAAATCCGTCGAGGAGTCCGGCAGGGATGTATCTTATCGCCACTTTTATTTAATCTGTATAGTGAAGCTATCTGTGAAGAAGCACTCGAGGAAGAAGATCTTGGTCTGTTAATAAATGGTGAGACGATCAACAATATAAGGTATGCTGACGATACAGTTCTCCTAACGGGAACGCTAGAAGAACTACAACATCTCGTTCCAAAGTCTCAATATATACTGTAACAGTTACGGCTTGAAAATTAATTTGAAAAAAACTAATTTTATGTTAATCACGAAATCAAAAAACATCAGAGCTAATCTTGTAATAGACAATACAACAATTGAGCGTGTGCCCTGTTATAAATATTTAGGTGCTTGGATCACAGACGATACTGATCAAACAAAAGAGATTAGATGTAGAATAGAAATCGCTAGATCAGTCTTTAATAGAATGCTCAAACTCTTTTGCAATCGTGATATCAATATAAAGTTACGAATACGAATGCTGCGGTGTTATGTCTTTTCTACCCTGTTATATGGAGTTGAGGCTTGGACACTAAAACAGTTGACCATAAAAAACATCGAAGCTTTCGAGATGTGGTGCTATAGGCGCATTCTCAGAATATCATGGATGGACCGCGTCACTAACACGCAAGTACTCCAAACTTTAGACAAAAGATGCGAAATTCTAAATGAGATAAAAACTAGAAAGATGGAATGCTTGGGGCACATTGTGAGAGGTGAAAAGTACGAACTTTTAAAAAACATCATGCAGGGCAAAATTAAGGGCAAAAGAAGTGTGGGAAGAAGAAAAATATCGTGGCTTCGTAATCTACGTGAATGGTTCGGGTGTAGTTCGATTGAACTTTTTAGGCGCACTGCTAACAAAGTCGCAGTGGCCATGATGATTTCCAATCTCCGCTAGGAGTGGCACGAGAAGAAGAAGAAGAAAAGAGCTGGATGAGGGAAGAGGTCAAAACCTTACTAAGGCCAAGAGAAGACAGAAAAGGGAAAGGTCAATTGAAAGATGGCAATAAGAATAAAACAACACGGAAGATGTGACACAGTGGACAAAAATGCTAATCCCGAACATAAGAGATTGAGTGGACTGTGGCCAGAGGCGACTAGATTATTTCCTGACGCAGGTGCTCACACAACACGAGTTTTTAGGGGCCTACCTATCTAAGTTCAGATCTACTGACATAGATGAATGCTTATACTGTGGATACTCGGACACTGTGACACATACGATGTTAGAGTGCAATATATGGATAGTAGAAGGGAACAGAATATAAAGAGAGATAGGTGTGAGTTTTGTTATAGTGATAAAAATGATTGAAAGAATGACTGAAAATAAAGCATGTTGGACTAGTGTACACAACTATATCCGTGCAGTGATTCAGAAAAAAGGAAAGAAAGGAATACAGCTGGACCACTGTCAAAAGTAAGAAGGAAAGATACTGGAAGTTGAAGGTAGAAAAGTGGGTCAGACTGTACGAGTTAGACTGTGAGTCAGACTGTGGAGAAGGAGGAAATGCTCGTCTGGGAGGGATGACTAACTAACAGCGATGAGGGTCTTCCACGTGATACCTGGAACGAGACAGGGAGCCTCCTTGTTGACAGTCTGTGAATAAATGAAGGCAGTTCTTCGGAAGTGATGCCAGCCTTATAGCGTTTATTTTGCTTCTAGGCGTTCGGCGTAGACTCGACGATGAGAGGTCATTTTAAAGTACCTCGGGAACTATAGCAGGGAGTCCGAAGAGTGAATCCTGCACTAAGGTGAATCAGGCGATGTGCTGGACTGAGATGTCTTTTGAAGATTTCAGATCCCCCTTTATAAAGACGAAACAAAAAAGGTAAATAGTCATATACCAAAAAAGACGGCATTGTATTAAAATTAGAAAACTAGACAGATTTTGAAATATTTGTTAATGTATTATTAAAGGAAACTAAATCAATAGAAAATTAAACCAAATTTATTTAAATATATGTATAAAATGTAATATTTATGCAATAATTGAAATGTACAAAATGTAATATTTATGCAAAATTCAATGTCCTCGCCATGTCTAGTTGAATATGTTTGATGCCTCTTTAATCTTTTTTTAAAGGTTCATCTTTAGTTGATCTTCCAAGTGGTAATCTATTTGACCCTCTAGTAATTCCCAACTTTCTTCGACTGATTGAAGTTGGTTGCACTCTTATATTAGCCTTGTGTTTAAATCGCCTCACCAAGGAACTTCCTGCCGTGTTTAAAACACTTCCCTAAGCCGTTTTAGTTTTAATATGGCATATTCTTTCGTGCAATAATTTTAACGTTGTAAGATACTACGAGAAATAAGACACCACGGGATATTGTGTTTTCTTTATCCAATATTTATCGACTGACTTTCGAGTCTTTCACGAGAGATAAAACACTTGTGTCTTCTACGGCGACTATTTTCCGGCTGTCTTTGATATTGTATTTTTAGGTGATTTGTGGAAAAAAAGAGGCTACTGCCTAACTTCAGAAGATGTTGGACTTTCCCCGTCTAGTATACCGATATCGTTTAAGATATTCAAAATAAAAGGGTCGGTGTATTTCTCTAAAATTAGTGGGGTATGTCCCAGGTCAAGGTATAAGGACAGAAGTAATCATTAAATTGATAAATATTTATTGACTGTTTCTTTAAAATAACGAAGACAATTTGAACTTTATGCATGACATAACTCATTTTTTACGATTTCAAATGTAACTATTGAACTTTGTGATTGTAGTTCAGCATAGAAGTCTATTCTGAATTAATTTTAAGTTAAAGTTAATTATTTCATAGTCTTTGTCAAAAGTAGGACAAATAAATTCCAAAAATATACTTTTGTAACGCAAATTATCATTTGAACTTTTGAATATACAAAGTAAAAACAAAACCAGAGATTATTGCATACATTTTATGTAGGTTTGTATATTTTATTATTAACAATATCTACAACTGATTAATAGTTATATCAGTTCGTTAAAGGTTGACAAAGGTTGACCACAGATAACTTAACCAAACATACTTATAATATTTTATACTAAAAGCAAAATTTATTCTAATTATGAAGTTGGTGTATTGTGTATGTTTTGTTCTTCTTTTTGGTGTAGTAAGTTCCTTTGCAAATTTAATATTTTAAAATTGTGTTAATATATAATTTGAACAATAGAATGTTGTACTATCACCTATTTGTAAAAATACCACTATCACATATTTTGTAAAATATCTCAATGTCGATTAAAGCAGAAGCAATAATAGGCAGTTCAAGTATATCACTAGCCTTGTCACGTTTCTTGTGTACTGTAGGCCCAAAAAATGCAGATAATTCTGTTATATTCATTAGCTGCTCCTTTGTTGTTAAAAGGACACTTATTCTTGTTTTTGTATTGTGCTGTATGTAGCCTTTAGAAGTTTATGCTTGTTGTCGAATGCACTGTGATCCATTTCCCGCTCTTCTGATCATTGTACTAATAATAATGAATAAAGTATCGGTTTCTTATGTTTTTGTTTCTTATGTTTTGTTTTTCTTATGTTACGATTAGACCCGCTTTATTAAGCATGAAATATTTTGTTGTTTAACGATATAGTAGTTCTCTTTGACTATTCCAAACCATTTCATTAGCTTCTTTGTAGGTAACATGATCCAACTATAAAACTTTAAGCAACTTTTTAAGACAAAACATTTTGAAAGATTTTGTGTGGTACTGGGACATCATAAGATTCGAGGTTAAAAGAATCTTCACGCCGCACGCTATATGGTTGACAGTCTGCAGAAGGAAGTTTTAGCCATTATCTTCACTTCTATGTCACAGTCTTATTTGCTATTTAAAACTAACTCCAAGGTCCTTGCTATCCCATAATAATAACTATATTCATTTTTTTGCATTTGTTCTAGATCATCCGCCATTAAAGCAGTTTTATGTGCATATCTTATATTATCAATAGAAATACCATTTTGATAACCTTTTTATTCTGTTATGTAATTGCCCATTGATTTGTTAAAAAAATAAGAAGCTACAATGTTATAGAAGTTTTAATATTTCATATCGTCAATGGACCGCGAGATACGAAAAAACCGCAGGGTGCTACCATTTAAAGGGAAAGGTTTTTGAGGGGTGATTAGTCCTTATACACTAGGGTGCATTTTGGTCAATTCTATGCACTTTTCGTACACATTTACAGAAAAGTTGTTTAAAATTAAATTAACTATCGAAATGTTATTTTTTTTAAGTCAAAATCAATTTTTTTTTTACAAGAATATATTCAAAAAATGAACAAAAAAAAAGGAACACACGTGATTTTTTTTTTCTTCTCCATACCTTTTTCTACGAGGATATAGGTATGGGCATTGGTTTACAAAAAAAAAAACTTTCATCTTTCTTCTTTAAAATAACGTTTGGTGAAAGTATTTGAGATTTACAGTATCTCAGATATGATTTTTCAAATTTCGTCACTCACACCATTTTTAGCCATTTTCACTATTTTTTCGCAAATACTGTTCTATAACTTTGTTCTACTAAGTTTTAATATGCAGTGGTATATTTAGTTAAAAGTAACCTTGAAAATGGTTATTTATTTTTACCATTAGAAATAACCACCTGACCTTCGTAGTTGTAAACTTCCTTTTTTGCTTTTATAGAAAAAAAAGTATGGGACGGAATTTGATAGTACGTTTTTGTTAATATTTTTTTAAAGAATATATTATTATTGAAATAAAAACACCAATATTCGTAACTCGGCGGCTTATTGATCCGGAATTAGATTAGCTACAAAAATTTGGTCCTAATACCGGCCTAATCTCCTTTTGTAAATCCTACTTTGTTTTGACCCAAAAACTAAAGTGTTTTATCAAAAATACAACTATTAACCATTTCTAATGAATAAACTACTGCATGTAGGTAACAAATATTTTCTGTAATAATTTGCAAGCAAATATTATAACCAATAAATTTCTCAATGCCTACCTGCAACATTAAAGATTGACGACAGCTTTCGAACTGATTACGTTGCTTGATTAAATCAAGCTGACTAAAACAGAAGCTAGAACATGTCACCCTACAATTTATACATAAAAAAGTGGCCTAATAAATTTCTCGCTAGGGTACACACGCGCAGTAGTATTTTACTAGTAGTATTTTAACTAACTTAAACGTATTTACAACAGAATTTCAATTTGTTGAATATGGCAGATTTACATCACAAATTTGTATAGGCAGTTAACGGGTAGTTTAACATTAAATCATTCCTAGTAATTAGATACTAAAAGAGTTAACTGGTTTATGAGAACGGACCAAAACCATATAAGTCTGGAAGTCTACTAGGAATAAAAAATGTTATTCAGGCATGGAACCAAATATCCTGGGAGGTTTTGCAATTTTATAAGAAACATTTTTTCATCTTCGAGTCTATCAATATACAGCTTTTGCTGTCCAATTTTGGACATAGGCCTCCTCTTCCTTCTTTCACGTCTCTCTATTGTAGGCAGTTTGTATCCACATCGGACCTGCGTGTTTCTTCAAGTCATCTGACCATCTCATTTGTGGCCTTCTTCTTTTTTGTTTGTAACTATATGGTCTCCAGTCTATAATCATCTTATTCCATCTGTCGTCTTTCTGTCTTATGGTATGTTCAGCGAACTTCCACTTAAGTTTTGCTACCTGCGTTGATACATCGGTCACTTTTGTTTTGTGCGGATCCAAGTATTTCTTTCTTGTCTGATAGCCTGATATTTAGGATTTGCCTTTCCTTTGGGTCTTTGCTATTTTTTCCATGTTTTCCTTTGTAAACGTCCAGTTTGAGAACCGTACGTGAGAACAGGAAGTATACATTGGTTGAAGACGCTGGTTTTTAAATATGGGGGGTATTTTCTATTAAATGTTATAGTATTATCATCATTATCATCATCCAGCCTTATTTTCACATCCACTGTTGAATATAGGCCTCCTCCAAACGTCTCCAGTTCTCTCTATCTTTAGCTGCTGCAATCCAGTTTGTTTCTATTCTCCTTAGGTCGTCGGTCCATCGGGTGAGTGGTCTGCATCGACTTCGCTTGTCAGCTCTTGGTCTCCACTCCAATAATCTCTTCGTCCATCTTACGTCTTCCATTCTAGCAACATGTTCAGCCCACCTCCACTTTTGTTTATTGATTCGCAGTATAATATCGTCTACGCCAGTTCGTCGGCGTATCTCCTCATTTCTCACGCGATCTTTCAAGGTCAGGCCCAGCATTGATCTCTCCATTCGCCTTTGTGTTACCCTCAGTTTTTCGGCAGTAGCTTTAGTTAAAGTTAGGGTCTCTGCTCCATAGGTCAAGACTGGTAAGATGCATTGGTTAAATGCCTTCCTTTTCAGGTGAATTGGGATATTTGTTTTAAAAATGTCTCTCGTCCTTCCATATGCCGCCCATCCCAACGTGATTCGTCTATTTAGCTCGCAGGTTTGGTTTTCTCTGGTTATTCTAATGTCATAACCCAAGTATGTGTATTTATCGATTAATTCGACCTTGTTGTTATTAATTTGTATCTCTTCGCTGGGAACCATATTGGTCATCATTTTGGTTTTCTCTAAAATTTTCTCGAGCCCAGTTTCTTGTAGTATGTCATTCAGTTCTTGGAGCATGTCTTTGATCTTTCCCAGATTATCTGACAGAACCACGATATCGTCCGCAAAATGTAGATGGTTTAATCTTTCTCCATCGATGGATATTCCTTTCTCTTGCCATCTTAGTTTTTTAAATGCATACTCAAGAACGGTAATGAACAGCTTTGGTGACATGATATCACCTTGCCTGACTCCCCTTTTTATTTTTATTTTATTAGTTGCAGATTGTAGACTTATGGTTGTTGTGGCATTTTCATATATATTTTTGACTATGTTACAATATCTGTGGTCGACCCTGCAATCTTGTAGTGCTCTTAAGATGAACGGTAGTTCCACTGTATCAAACGCCTTTTTAAAGTCTACAAATATCAATGCCAAGGGACGGTTTTATTCGTTAGTTTTTTCTATCAGGGTTTTTAGGCATTGCAAATGATTGTTTGTGCCATAATTAGGACGAAAACCAGCTTGTTCCCGAGGTTGGTAAAAATCCAGCTTTGTCTCTAATCTGTTCGTTATTATTCATGTGTATAATTTATAAAGATGGTTAAGGAGACTGATTGGTCTGTATCTGTCCAGGTCTGCTATATCTCCCTTCTTGTGTAAGAGTACAGTTATTGAATTATTCCATTTTGATGGGATATTTTGATTCCATAGGCATAGATTAAAGAGCTTTTGAATTTTGGCTATCAGTACTGAGCCTTCTATCTTTATCGCTTCCCTAACGACACCGTCCTCCCCCGGAGCTTTGTTAATCTTTTTTAGAGCCTTGTAAATTTCGTCCAAGGAGATTTCTGGGATATCTTCGGAACCCTGATTTTGAACCTTCCTTTGTTGATATTTAACTATATTTAGAGTCGATTGGTTGTTATATAATGTCTCATAGAATGATTCCACAATTTGTAACAATGTTCCCTGTTTGATGTGATGTTGCCAGTTCTATCCTTGAGTTTGACTATTTGTTTATTTCCATTTGTGAGTTTGCGTCTCATTATTTTCATATTCTTATTTTCCTCAATGGTTTTGAGGATTTTCTCATCTTTGTATTTTCTTAGGTCTTTTCTGATTTCTCTTGATACTTCCTTGTTTATTTTATTTATATCGTCGTTACTAGAGTTTTCGTCGTTTCTCAGTATTCTTCTTTGTTCCATTTTTTTCTGTGTTTCCAGACTAATTTTTTCTTCCTTCACGCTTTTTGGGCAGAATTTCTTTTGAGCTTCTGTTATTGCTTCTACTATTATGTTATTTAGGATGTTAATATCATTTGTTAATGATTTTTCTTGAAGAAATTTACCAATATGATCTTTAAAATTTTCTTCGTTGTTTAGATGTGTCCATATGTTTATTTGCTTCTTTTTTATCATATTGTGTCGTTCATAATTATTTAACACAATTGTTGCTCTCACCATACGATGGTCGCTTGATTTTGCAAATTTATTTAGCACTGTCACATCTGTAAATATGTATCTTTTATCAGTAATAAAGTAATCGATCTCGTTTGTCGTCTTCCCA